CCCCGCCCCGCCTGGCTGGGCCTGTGTTTTGGCCGTGCCGCGGGCAGGTGCGCCCTCGCTGAAGCCTCCGTGCCCGGCTCCCAACACGCCCGGCTCTGTCAGGTTGTACGGGCTGAGGAAGGAGGGAGCTGGTCGCGCACTCGAGCCTTTCCCCCGCAGGCAGGAGGGTGCTGGGAGCAGCAATGACCAGCAGTGTTTGACTGGAGAGGCCTTGGCAGGCTGAAGAGCACATCGATCAGGATTATGTACGTTTGGTATTGATCCAAGACAAGTAGTTTCAGTGTCAACAAAGCAGTCTCCGCTCTTTCAACTCTGTGTAACTGCACTTTGAAGTGGGGCAAGTTTTAGGCCAAAAGGAGACATTGCCAAGTGACACTTCTGGAATAAAACCTATATTTTCCCCAGTAGTCTTCAGCCTGCTGCTTTTGATTTGCTGTTATAATACTACTCTCTCTTACTGTAATTCTTATGTATCTGTTTTCTTGGGGTGGAGGGGAACAGACTTTTGAATTCTGCCTATGTTCTTCTGTCTAACTTCTTGCTGCTCATTCTGTTTTCTTGCTTCAGGATCTGACTTGGGCAAGTTCCTGGAAAGTACGTGTGAATTTTCTTTCCTTTTCCCATAACTCTTGCAGTTGCGTTTTATTTTTAAGTTACTTCTTAATAAACACATTCAGTTGATGCTTTTTCTGAATAGAACGTTTGGTAGATGTACAGAGTGATAATTTGGACCCTTTATGAATGAAATTGGTTGCTGTAGTCCCTAACAAGAGCTTGTTACAGGTATTCTTGAGCTCTGTTTTTCAGTGGTGGTTGTAATAGATAATACTAGTTCTAGTGTCATGCAGTATTGGTGTTACTGGCGTTCACTTGACTGGACCTCCTTTGGTCAGTTAACTGATGCTGAGGTAAAACTATATGCCCTAGTCAGTCCTAGTGGTGTCAACAAAAATGCTAAAGTGTCTTTTGCCCCTTCTGCACCCTCTCCACCTCCCACCTCATATAGACGTAAGTCCTACAAGTTAATTAATGTCCAAGTTCATGTGTGTCAATGTTAATTCCTCACTGAACATGTGATTGAAAACAAAGATTCAGTATAATGGCCAACTATATTAAAAAGAACGTAGAAGTTTATCTGCAGGAGTTGAATGTCAGCTGTCGCCTTCAGGAGGACCTGCTTTCTATTTTTTAGGATGCTCATAGAAAGACTTTAATACCTCAGTAAAAACTCTGACCCTTGTAGATCTTCTCAGATTCAACAGATGTTGATCTTAAGGGGACTTTAAAGTATCCTCAGATACTTAGTGGCTCTCTTGCCTTCCTAAAAACATGCAGTAAATGAAAAATGAGATCTCTATACTGACAGAAGTGAAAAAGCTGCATGTAAATAATGAGTTGAGATTTTACCTTAGTTTTTCTAATAAATCCACTTCTTGATTGATGAAAGGATTTGGCGTGTCAAAGGGGAGTTGAAAAGGGTCTGCAAGGAAGCTTTTTTTAAGGAGAGTTCAGAATAAGTGCCATTGTTTCTCTTCTTCTCCTGCTGTCTCCTAAGGTCAGTTGTCTAAATGGAGTCGTATCAGAAACTGGAGTTTCTTAAACCTGAATGTGAGGAAAAAGTTGGCAGCACTTTTAGGATGTGTAGATACTTCCTTTCTGAAGCAAACTTGATGTCAAAGTCTTGTAGAGCATCTCATTAGGGTAGGCACACAGACTGACTGAAGAGGTTATTTGCTAGTATGTACCTCTGCTGAAAAGTCTTTGTAGTTATTTAAAGGTACAAAGGGAAAAACAGTTGGCAAAATCAGTTCATAGTAATCTATGAAGATGAGTTAGGCGCATGGACCATGATCTTTTCCTTCCCTTCTTCACCCTTCTTTAAAGTGGTTCAGCCTCCAGCTCTTTGGTGGTGGTGTTGGAAATGTCAAGAATATGAAATATGATTCTGCTTACTTTTGTCTGCTCTTGTAAGCTCAACTATCGAATGCGCTTTTCTTATTCTTGCACTGAAGTCTTTAACCTCCCTTCCTACTGCTTTTTAAAGTATGAAGCTAAATCTTCCTACAGTCTGATTTTTAAAAATTCCTTTCCTTAGCTTTTTTTGTCTATGCTTATGTCTTTTTTCTTAGTGCCCCTGCTCAAAGATGAAATGAGATAAACTATATTTAATTTACAAATAGAGATAGGCAGAGGTAAGGGACTGAGCAACAACATTTCAGATCATAAACCTCAAAGCATGGGCCTGATATGTTTCCTCCTTCCTACATAGCTTGCTGGAGATCTATTGAATGTTTTGGTAGGGAGAAATCCATCTCCTTGTTATTGAAAAGACATTTATGTTGAAAGAGATCTCTTTCTTCATGTGGTTTCTCATTGATTTATTTTAATTCATTGAGTGACAGTTGAAAACTTAGGTGTGTGACATGTTCCAGAGGGGATGATGCTATTTGTTTTCATGAGAATTAAGTCAGTTATCAGCCTAGCTTTGCCTCTCTTTCCTTCTTGGCAGTCAAGTATCAAAGTCTTCGGCTGCAGAAAGGATCTGGCTTGAAAATCATCAGAACTGAGAACAGTTAGCAAGTTTGCTCATGGTATACTTCAGTTATAGATGGAACTGAGAAGAATTAAGTGCTTTAAATCATAAGGTCTATACAACATTGGCCCTCTTGTGGTTGGTTGTAGTGTATGTATATATATTTGTGTGTGTATATTTATATACGTGTCTGTGTGTATATATATGCACATGCAACCGTGTAGTTGATCATAGTAATATTCATTTTTCCTCCTCTAGGTCAGATGGTAGCAGAAGACTGTAAAAGACAAGTTCTTGCATTGCTTTGTTAGTAGCTAAGATTGCCACAGTATGTTGATTACAAAATGTGTCCAGTTCTCTTTTTTGCAAAGAGAGGGCTGTCAATCTGTTCTTCTTAAAGGTCAGTCAACATTCCTTGAATATAGAAACTCTGCAGCAGTGGCTTGATGCCTGTGAGAAACTAGGCTGCCATTGAAAATTTTATGTCTCTCTTGCTTATTTTTTTTGTATGAAAGGATACACAGAATTGTTTTGCGGTTTTTGGCAAATGTGACATCAAAGTATGTATTTTCAGGAATAATCTTTTTGAAGTCATTAGTGCTTGTAATGTGTATAAGCTGGTTATCTAGACCTCAGAGGATTGTGGAGAAAAGCAGAGATGTCTGTAAAACTAGGGGGTCTGTAGGTCAATGAGACATTTTGCTGGGCATTTAGAAAATGTATCTAAAATGCTATTGTGTTGACAGTACCTTTTGGATCATTTATTAGCTTTTGATTCCCTCAGCTAATTATTAATAGTAATGCATTGTGGATTTGTTATCTTTTTGGCCATATGTTTTCGAGAATCTAGGCAAACAAAGCGATTATTTGCTGCTCTCAACAGCGGCTTTTGTATATTTAACTTGTCACTGTAAACAGGTAAGCTGGCCTACATATAACGTGTTACAAAAATAAACCAAATGGAAAATTGTTATTGAATGCTAAACAGCTGTTATTGAAGCAAAAGTAAGCATGACACTTGCACTTTGAAAATTAATGTTTTGCAATTGTATATTTGGTCATTTTCATTCAACAGGAAAATACTTATTTCAAATTGTGATTACTATGAAAAACTTTCTTCCTGTTGTTGACAACACATTGAAATCCCTTTCATGGTATTGACAGTATTTTATGATGAAGATACCAGTTGGTGGGACTGGAATGTTCTGAGGCTATAGATCTACGTATGCAGGTTAGATGGGATGAAAGGAGATTTGTGGCCTGTATGTGGTAGTGTGTTTCTTCTGATAAGAAGAAATATGAGGAAAAAATGTACTTCTGGTGGTGAATGGGTAGCTGAATTTATGTAACTTCAAACTTCAGGCAAGATATAATATGGTAAGGAGTTGGTATGATTGGTAACTAAAGGATGTATAAGCTGTGATTTGTGAGCAGTGTATGGTAGAATCAGAATAATTTAGGTTGCAGGAGATCTTTGGTCACCTGCTCCAACCCCCTACTCTAAGCAGGGCTAGCTTCAGTGTTCTTAATAAGGCAGATGATAGAAAGTGAGTGAGGATGATCATGGAAAAACAGCATATGGTGGGATTTTTAAGTATCAGCAACCAATAACTTGATTTAAGAAATCGGAGGCCTGGTTCAGCTACCATTAAAACCAGTGGAAGGTTTTACACTAGGCTCAGTTAATGCTGAATCATCTGTATGTGTGACTTTCTGTATTGTTTATGTTATAGCAGATTTTAAGAATACTGAGGCAGGATCAGTATAACATTGCAAGTGAGTTTACAAAGATGTAATTCTTCTGTCCCTTGGTAAGATGTGAATGTCTTTAACAACGTTGACATAAAGAGAAAGGGAGTGCTAATAAGCTATTACAAAGGGTTGTTGTGATTCATATGTAGTAGCAAGTTAACGTCTAACTTTGTGGATGATTAACATAGGCAGTCGGATATGCAGAGCAATTTTCTCTTTTAGGGCTTCTTAACAGGCATTCTTTCTCGCTATTGAATATTTGTTTTTTAAAGTGCAGAACATCTCTGAACTGTATTGCATGGGAAACTTTAAGAAAGGGTATAGAGAGAGAATTTCTACAAAGCCCAAAGAAGCTGCTTATATAAATCATATTAAAAACAAAACCAAAAAAGCACACCAACCCAGATGTGTAATTCAGTGAATCTTCTCAGTAAATATAGTCTAAAGCTTTGATCTGCCATTTTGAATATATCTATGGGCTGCATAATGCAATGTGACAACTAGGAGAGAAATGCTGCAGTGAGTTTTTGGTTGGAGGCCTGTAGTCTGACTACCGGCAGTGAAGTCTGAGTTGAGGAGCTCGGCACAGTGTGCAAGTGGATGGACTCAGCATCCTAATATGTAATGTTTTGTGGAATGGCACAGACTAATAAATACTTACCTACCCGTAAACTTAACTATGTACAAGCTAGAGACAGATTTGAAAATGATTTTTCAGATGGAAAAGAGCAGAATGTTGGCAGAATTTTGGGACAAAATTTTCAATGAGCAATGGTTTGTGTTCTAGCCAGGGCAAGGCCAAGGGTGTGGTCCTCTGACTCCGCTTGGAGCTTAATCGTTGGTGTCTACCTTTGGCTGGAAGCCTTGTAATAAAGGTGGTGGTCATGCTGCTTTCCAGCTGAGGAACTGGGGAAAGCTTGCATGCTTACTTGCGTTCAAGTCAAGTAGGGTTTGGAGAAGTTTTGTGCCTCTAACCACTGAGTTCACAACAGTAGGTAGGAAAGGAGGAAAGTATCTGGAGATGCAATATTTTATGTTCCTTTATTTTTTCCTTGGCATTTCTTTTTCTTAGGTGAGCAGGTTTCTCTTGCTGTCCTGTCCCAAAAATAGTTTCAGTGCCTACTTCTTACATTTGCCATTCTTGACTGTAGAGGAACATGTTGCAAGCTGTAGTACTCCATAAAGTTTTAGCTGGATCTGTAAAAGTGAGCAGAGGATGGGCAATTTGGCTCTGCTGTTTGAGCATGCTACAGACTAATTCTGGACCACAAACTGTTGAAAGACTGAAACTTTTTTGCAATTATTTGAG